TCAAGGTTGGGAATCGGTTATAAAGTCTCAAATCATAAAGTTCTCCGTGAATGTATCAAATGAATTGCCATGTAGGGGTGCACCTGAGTTGATAAGGATTAGAGGTAAATGTGAAAATTCTTGGAATTCTCATTTTGCTCGTAAGATCAGTGGTTAGAAATGGCATGTCAAGGAATCAAGGGTTCATTAAAGGATTTTGGTACATCTTATGGAATTGTAATTGGTGGAAATTCGTGATTGATGTGTTTGAGCCCTTATCCGTGTGTTGGTAATAATCATACTCAAAGGCAAGGGGTGTATTCAATGAATGGATGAATGTCAGCTCTGGATTATGGGTTATGAAATATAGATCTGATGGGTTTCTGGTCTTAGGAAGCATATTGATGGAGTTGATTTGGTGTTTGTAGCCTTGAAAGTCCTTGACTTTGTGGATCTCTTTAGACATTCAGTCTTATCAAGGAAGTTGTGGAATATGTTGGCGTTGTTTACGCTTCTTTGCAATGGTGATCTAACTGAGGCTCGTGTTTGGAGTTGCCTTGTTTTCGAATGAAGGGTTCATCAATAGAGAATGGTTAGGAGTCCTGATTCCCTAGTGGAATCAACAAGATAAGTCAGAGTCGAAAGGGGTTCCATACAGTTTGGATTGGAAATAGATGTCGTAATAGCTGCGTTCCTAGATAGTTTTGCTTGTTTTATAGTCAGTTGAAATATTGGATTTCTAGGGTCAGGAAAACTGTGATGGCTTGCTTTAGTGATAATTAACGAGACAAGGTTTCGTTATTGGTAGAGGTGTGAAATTTTTGCTAATAGTGGTTCAAGGAGAGTATGGGAAGGCATCCGCCTGAATTAGCTGACTTTTAGTTCGGATCGCGTTCTAGGGAGGACCGTCTGAGTGATCTGAGGTGGAGGTATGGAACACCACCCTGGGTTAGTTGCTACAACAAACTTTAAGGGAAAAGTCTAAGTCAAGTGGGGGAGGATTGTATGTAACGCCCGGGTTTTCAGGGCTAAGCATTTTTGTCAATGTAATAGTCTAGGTCAACTATTGTAACTCTTTTTGAAGTAATAAATATGAAATATTTGAGTATTATGTGAATTATGTGTGTTTATGTGTTTATTATTTAATTATAAATGTATAATTAATAAAGAATAAAAATGAGCGTCAAAATTAAAGTGTGAGATAATCCCGATATCTCTACATAAAGTTGTAGAATATGTCTCAAGGTTTCCGTGCATATAAAGAATGCCGAAATCCGAGCTATAAAGAAGAAGTTATGGCCCGCCGAAGTTTTACGACAAAACCGGCACGACACCGGGAAACGTAAATAGTGAATTTACGATAGAAGACTTTTTAGCCTTAGCAATCTAAACAAAAGTCGTAGAATATGTTAAACTAAGAACATCGATAAAAAGAACGCCCAAATCTGACTTCGTATGAAGAAGTTATGATTTTTCTAAGATTCGGCTTAGCAGTGCACGGCCTGAAACTCGAATTTTAGTTCGAGCGGTTTTTGGCTTACGCAACATAAATGAGAGTTGAAGATCTCATTAATAGGAAATCAACGGTAAAAAGACAGACAAAAACAGAGTCCGTATGTAGAAGTTATTAATTTTACGCAGACGTTTAACAGTATAATCTCCTTGTACTGTTAAATTTAAGATCGGTCGAGAATTAGCTGACGGTGTCAAAATGAAAGTTGTAGATCTTATTATTACCTACGCGTGGATATAAAGAACGTCAAAAACGGAGGTCGTATGTGAAAGTTACGGATTTTAGAAGTCGGAAGTGTGCTGTGCGAAAATGGGTGATGTGGCACAATCTTGGCCATTGCTTTCTCCCCAAGGCTTGCCACCAGATGGTGACATGTGGCACCAAGTTCAGCCACATTTCACCCTATAAATACCACCTCTCCCACCCTCATTTTCTTCACACCTTTCCCATTCTTTCTTCTCTTTACTCTCTCTCTCTCTCTCTAGAACCTCTCTCTAGCCCCGAAATCCCCCGAAAAGCCTAGGGAACCTCCCTAGCACGAGGCGGAAGCCCCGGAGTGCTCGAAGGCTCCGAGAAGAAGAGCTTTTCGGCTCGGGAACGCTGCTCCAAGCAAAGCCCGGTTTTCTATAAAACCCGCTGTAAGTGAGCTACGCCTACGCTATTTTTAATATAACTTTTATTTAATTATAGTAACGTTATTAGGAACTTATAATAAATACTTGGGCTATTATTATGGGTTATATAAGTATTTTTTGGACGCTATATAATAATAATAATAATAGCTAGACTATTAATTAGTCTCGACGAATAATAAACTAAACTCTAGTGGTAATAATACTAGGTTTCGTCGAAGAAAAATTCTTTTTAAGAAGCGAAGCGCTGTCTGAGTTCGGAATCACCACCTTTTCCGGTGAGTGCATAGTTACCTTCAACTTACACATAGATATGAAGTATTTTATATAAATTACGTGCTATGTGTGCATATTATCTGAATACTTGCTATCTATGCTAGATGAACGTTGTTATACATGTTTTCAATGATTTAAACTGTATATGTATTTTATATCTACGAAAATGTTGGGGTAAAACATGGGTAGATGTAATAGGTGATGTGTGATAAAATGATGAGAGGCCTCGATGTTGTTGTTGTTGATCCAGTCATCTAGCGGAGTATAGATGACGACCACGGACTCTTCTAGACAGTCCAGTGGAACACTAGCAGGTTCGCAACCTGTAGGTGTTGTGAACGATGTGTTCACCGGTGTACTCCATCCCCCACATGGTTGCCTATTAGGACATTTATTGCTGAGGAATCCCCTTAGCAGTAGTGTCCGTCCCGATGATAATCCTTAGGCTAGGTCCCTTATGATAGGTGTTTAGGGACGTAAAGTGAGGATAACGGGAACGGGTAATCGGGTTATTGTTGATTGATGAAATTAATAAACTTATTTATTGTGGGTTGAAAACCCTATGTGCTCACCAGGCTCCCAAGCCTGACCCACTCAGTTTTATGTATTACAGGTAGTGGCGCATGAGCATAGGTGTGATGTTTTGGACGAGGGATTACGGATATAGGCCTGTAGATATGAAATAATGTAGTAAGGCTTATATTGTACTGTTTATACTTTTGATCTGTACGAACATGACATCCCGAGTCTTTTAATGAATACATTTCTATGGAAATGCTTTTGATAAATCTTTATCATATTATTGTTTTGGGACAAATTCCGCAAACCATTTATTAAAAGATAACTCTGATTTTGAAATAAAGTATAAACAAAACCGGTCTTTTCTGGCCGTGATTTTGGGGATGTCACATTGTAATACCTGGTTATGAGGCATTCCACTGTTGACCCTTCTATTGAGATTTATTGCTATTTGGACCCTAAGTATAAGAAAGATTGCAAAGAAGGCCATAGTGGCATTTTCGTAATTTTGGAGATTGAGGAGTATGCCATGCATACGTGTATACGCTGAGTGTACTAGGGCGCACCCTAGTACACAGG